AGTTGCCTTTGGAAACCCTATGGTGTGTCCATGAAGTGTTCCTGAAAAATCGCCATACTTTCTCTCCTTATTTATTTGGGTTACTCTAACAATAACATGTCAATAAAAAAAACTTGTTAAGCAAACAATTTCAAAATTTAAGCAAAAGGTCTCCTCAAACCATTAAATAGACAGATTTTTTTTTTTTTTGCAGAGTCCATGTCTTGAGGGCCCTGACAAACACATCCCAACTGTTGGGATGGTGCCAAATTGGCGTGGCCATACTGAATGAATGGTGAGACCATAACTTGCCATGACTTAAATATGGCTGAATGGCTGCAAAGGAACCTGGGAGCAAGCTCCCTTTAAGCAGAAGCAAATTTAATAAAAAACTGTCAAAGTTTGCGTTACAATCGATATTGAACCTATTGGTCAGCAAATATGGGCCCATGCAAAAATAAATATCACATGTATAAAGTTCCAGCATGGAGCACAGGTCAACCTGGTTATAGTGATCTTACAGCAGGAACGTCACACAGAGAGCCAGAATGAATGATTGATGAGTGAGTAGACATTGGGTGACCTTCGTTCGGTATCATCCCTCCTGCCCCTTCTAAAAATACTAACTAGGTAAAAATTAGTAACCACACACCTACTGGGCATGCTTTTAAGCCATGACTCCTTTGAGGACATATGACTCCTTTGAGGAAAAAGAGCATAAAAATCAAGCAAATTAAATTACTGTTGGGATTCCTTAATTGACGCATAAAGAAGCAATGCTGTTAGCCTAGATGGAGTAACCAAAACTCTGCTCCGTGGGCTCGAGTAGGACTGTGAACCAGAGGGGTCTCAAGGCAACCGAGGCCTTGCTTCGGGGGAATCCGAGACAGACCAGAGGGCTGAGAAGAACAGACTAGGAGAGAAGAAGCAGTCTGTAAAATTGGTAACCACCTTCTCTGTTTGCCAAGCAGGAACTGTGTGAAGCTAGCGCAGGACCTGTTTGTGTATGTTTGTGAAAGAGAGGCTCGTTAAGGGGAATGTAAAGCTCTTATTAGATTGCTCTTAAAGTCTAACGTAGGAGTTATGTGCTTGATATAAGCCTTTACCGCTTGTGTAATTCCTTCTCAATAAACTGCTGTGTATTGAAAATAATTGCTGTGGACCTTTTTCACTGGTATGACAGTAATCTGCTCCACCTGGAGTCAGTAAAGATCCATTTCAGGGGTAGTAGTGCCCCCTGGTGTCAGCACCAATGGGCAGATATAGATAAGCTCTCTGTTGAAATTGCTGAGGTATGTGTTTTAGACAGAGACCTCAACAGGAAGGACAGAAGGTCAGGCCCTCCACCCCCACCACCCCTGCTGGCTGCTTGCTTAGTTATCCTAAGGCCATTGCAGAGGCCTGTTAAGACCTACTGATTTAGCTGCTTTTGGCAATCAGCATGATAATTAATATTCCAATTATCGCCAGTGGTCCACGTATTTTGCTAGTCCGCCAAGATCTCCCTGTACACACCCTTCATCTCAATAGTTCAGATTCTTAGGATTGTGTGGGAATCTTTACTGAACTTCCATTCCCATGAGGCAATGGTAGCTTGAAGTGCATTTTCTTAGCTTTGGTTGGTAAACCATTTTTAATCAGTGTTAAGAAAATGGACTTAAAAGAGTGATACATAAAAGTCTCTTGGGATAAAACTCTTGGCCCTGCTCTGATGGAAGGAAATATGATGAGTCCTCATCTTTTGTGTTGGATCTCTTTTATCACCTATTTTACAAACCACTACAATGAACTAAAACTTCCATGCTCAGGCTGTGAAGTCAAACCACTCCTTAAAAAGCAATCCTCAAATCAAAACAGAAGGACAGAGATAAATTGTCACCTTCTTGCCTTCTTCACAGTACCTGCCTGTGAAGTGATGGAGTGACTTTGATGGACTGGTTCAATATTGACCATAGATGCTAGGATTTTTAATAGGTCTAACTGGTGTACACTCTGGCCATGTTTAATAACTCCTCCCTGGGGCCTTGTCCTGTGATCTTAGACAGGGATGCTAACCATCAAGTGTTTGATTTGGCTGGAGATTATCCATTTGCAGTGCTGGCTCCTAACACGCAAAACTAGCTCTCAATCCACCTCTCCCAATTTTTCGAAATAACCTCATTTTGAATGTGTTATTCACAGAACCTTTTTAGTTTTCCTCCTATTCGTTACTTTCCCCTGTATCCCTTTTACCTCTTAAAAAGTTGGATCCTGCAGTCACTTGCTACTAAGCACAGTGCTTACTGTTATAGTTCAGCGCAACAGCACCTGTATTCCCCCTTGTGGTCCACTTAGGCTCCTGGCTCCTAAGCCATCACCCCTCTCTGAGTGGAGACCTGCATCTCTCTCCCTCCTACCAGGGTATTTCCAGATTGCATAGCTCCCAGCAAAGTCAGGCTGCCTAAGCTGACCTGCTTTACTTTTCTTCTCAGTGACAGTAAACAGTGTAATTGCCACAGTGAAGCTACCGTATAGCTCTTTCTAACCAAGCACGTTTATTCTTAAGGTAAAAGCATTACAGAGAAAACCTATTCAGAACAACAGTAGAACCTACAACATGCTAATAAGTTTACCCGAGCTCACTGCAATTCCAACAAGGGTTCTGGCCAGTGAACTGTCCTTCAAAACCCACCCAGGGGAGTTTCTGTGGTCACGAGTTCATAACAGCTGTTAGCTCAGAACAAGCACCCTCATAAGCAAGGGCTGGTCACACTGGAAATTTACCTCAACACAGCAATATCTCTCAGGGGTATGGGTTTGAAACCCTGAGAGATATGGCTATGTCATCCTAACCCCAAGTCTAGACAGCGTTACGTCAATGGAAGAATTCTTCCATTGACCTAGCTACTGTCTCTTGGGAAGTGGGTTAACTACAGTGACAGGAGAACCCCTCCCATTTTTGTAGTGAGTGTCTACACTGAAGCACTACTGCACTGCAGCTGTGCTGCTGTAGCATTTTAAGTGTAGACATAACCCTAAATCAGCTACTCTGCCATACAGTTTGTCTTTGGACTGCCCTCATGTAACAGGGGATCAGCAGAAATAAGGTCTCTCGTCCCCCTCCGGAATGCAAAGCTTCAAAGGCTGAACCTGTAGGTGGAAGTTTGCAATCCCCTTCTCCCATATACTTCCCAGGAATTCCATTTCACATGTAGTGTCCCAAAAGATCATTTATGCCCACTACATTGGTCAACGTCGTCATTCAAAGCTCACACCACTTCCCCAAGATTGCTTTAATCTGATCTTCCTTCTAAAGAAGTTCCATGCAATCCCACAATAGCACAGAAACATTTGCTTTCTTAATACCCTGAACTCCTAAAATACTTAAAACTTAATTCAATCAGGTTTGTCCAGGATACTGCTGGATATTGCCATGACTGTCACGCTTACTACTTCAAGAAGGCCCATTGACTTCCAAGGGATTAATTCATGGGAGTAAGTACTTGGTAGTAAGCATTTGCAGGGTCAGCACTGGACCCCTAGACTGGTTAAAATTTTAAATTGGGAGGAGGAATATTATGTTTTAATGTATTTCCATATTGTTATAAGGTTATTTATCATCATCATTGCCAGCGTTGGACTACCAACATTAGCTTACACAGTATGCTGAGCATCTCAACAGGGCTGTGCTTTACAAATAATGTTAATAATAATTTATTCTATACTTATTTTGGGGTAGTCATGGTGATCATTGTGAGAATAATTTTTTTTTAACTGTCACACAAACCATTCTATCCTGTAGATTTATCATCATATTTCTGTAATTACCATCTTTGAGTTTAAATGCATTTTAATAACTAAATTATTTATCATTATTATTATAGTAGCATCTAGAGATCCCAACCAGGATTGGAGCCCCATGACTTGATACATTTCATTTTTTTGAAGCATTATTACCAGAGGGGATGCTTGAGGGGGCGGGGGGCAAGGCTCCCCCACCCCCCCCCACCCCCAGATTTGCTGCTTGGCTTGGACTGAGCATGCTCACACAGACTGGGCATGCTCAGTAACACTACTGAAGCTGGCTGCCCTCACTGCACCCCTCGCCTCCCCACTATCAGGCACGAGTTGCCTCTGATTATTACTCATCTCAGCTTGCTAATATAAAGGTGGTCATTGTTTATTTCAAACTCCCAGCTATCTAATCATTTGAAAAAAAATGAGTTATACCAAATTTTACACCAGTGAGAGAAAAACAGACCCATAGGTATAAATTTTCAGAAGCTGGGAATGGGCAACAGGGGATGGATCACTTGACCATTATCTGATCTGTTCATCCATCTGAAGCACCTGGCAATGGTCACTGTCAGAAGACAAGATACTTGGTTAGATGGACCTTTGGTCTGACCCAGTATGGCCATCCTTATGTTCTTATGGACAGTAAGTTTGAGTACATCAATTTTTGGATGCCCAGCTTTGGACAATGTAAAGAGACCTGATTTTCAGGAATCGGGTGCTCAGCACTCTCCTGGAATTCAAGCTCATTTAGGATATCTCAAACTGGGCAACCAAAACCTACAGCACTGAAAAACACTGGTCCCTTTTGAAAATTTAGCTCACAGGCTCCCTCTTATTTTTGTATCTGGATTTACTGCTCCCCTGGGGAGTTTGTTCTCCCGGTCTTCATCAAGAACTTGATCCAAAGCAGCTCCACAGCCTAGAAAAATGGACCTAATGTTCAGACAATTGGAGAAATACCTGCAGAATAATAAATCTACGATAACCACTTCGAACAGTCTTAAGCCATTCTGAGCATGTCTATTTTTATTAAATGCTTATATTATATCTATCAAGGCTTTCATATCACAGTATCTGTGCAGCGTCCTAAATTCCTGAGTTACCCCTTACAACCTTAGATGAACAACAGAGAAAAGGAATTCACAAAGTCAGACAGGGCATTTTAATCTCTTTTATTAAATCACAATTGTTGAGTTGGAAAAGTGATTAGCAATCAAGTCGATTCCTTCCCTTTTGCTCAGTCCTCACTCAGCAGGGATGGGAGGTGGAACAGTCCTTCTTCTGGAGGATTTCCTGTCCTTGGTTTTTTTGGGCTGGAAAAGCAGAGACTTGTTGTTGGCTGCATCCCCACGCTGATAATTGGTGACCCTACCCAGCAGCTTGTTGAGCTCAAAATCATTTCGGATAGCGAGTTTCAGGTGCCATGGGGAAATCTGATGCTTATTGTGGTGTTTGGTGATGGAGCCAGCCCTATCCACAATGTTGAAGATCAGGTATTCAAGAACTGCAGCCACATAAACCAAGGCTGTGGCTCCAATGCCCTTTGCAAAGTTTCCTCTGCAGAGCATCCTATCCATGTGGCTAACAGGGAACAGTAGCCCGGTCCTGGATGAATAGGACACCTTGGCCTTGAAGTGCTTGGAGGTCTCACCAGAATTCATACGCTCACTCATGTCACCAGCTGACAGTGTTCAAGCAATTTGCTTGCCTGGTCTTTCTGGCCTTTCTTTTCCTGTGTTACTTTCTAGCCTGGTCAGATGAAGTCTGGCTTGCCTTGGCTTGGCTCATCTTATCAAGCGGAACTATGAACTAACCTTGCCAGCCCCCTGGCCCTTTGAAAACCTTGGCAGAAGGGGGGAAAAAACCAACACACTTCACTTTCTGATTGATCAGATGCTAACCAATGGAAAGCTACATCCTTTCCCAGCAAAACCAAGTGTGATATGTCATCCGTTCTGTGACATCATGCCCTCTGGCAGTCCTTTTCAGATGTGATTTTTAGCCAATCACAGCTGCCCTTAGAGAAGCTCAATTATAAAATTATTTTAATTTCCCATAGTAATGATCCTTCTTTAAGCCTTTGAAATTATGAAATGCACAAGATGCCCCTTTCCACCATCAACTATTCCCTTCCCCGAAAAGAAACAGCAGAGGCACCAGCTTCAGTCTCCCCGATCTCCCAAAACCAGAGCATCCTGAACTGACTTCTCCTCTCAAAACTTCCCTCAAACAACCAGGGTTCCAAGCCAATCCTACTACCATCAAAAGACAACAATACATGCTTGTTCACAGTCTAGATGATCATAATGGTCCCTTCTGGCTGTAAAATGTATCATCCAATTACAGGATTGGAGCCTTAGGCTTTGTCTACACTAGAAAAGATTTGCTAACATAACTGTCTTGGCAGACCCTCCTAGTTTACACAGCTTATACTGGCATGATGCTTTTGCTTGCTACATCAGTAGAATTTTTCTAGTCTAGACAAGGCCTAAGCTACATCTGCAATTCGAGAGTAGACATACTCAGAGAGAGCCATTTATGCTTGCCTGCTCTGTACAGAAGGATTGGTGGCAGTGGGCGGGGGATAGCTGTCTCTTCTGCATCACCCCACCCCTTCCTGGGACCTCACTGAGGCTTCTCTGAAGGTCAAAGGGTCAGGCTCCTGAAAAGGACATGGAAACCAAGACCTTGTTACAGTAATGTCTATTTCTTAGAGAGGCATTTCATCAGTAAACCTCCAAGCGCTTCACAATCTTTCATCTACCTATTCTCACCATACTGCTGTGAGGCAGGGATGTGCTATTATCCCCACTTTCCGATGGGAAACCAAGACACAGAAAAGCTAAGCGACTTGCCCAAGGACACTCAGAAAGCCCATGGCAGAACGAAGATGCAATCTGACCTCTTTTCCTTTACAAGCCAGCACCACAACCAGCCTCTCGCTCCACTGAAGAGAGGGGCTATGGGGAAAGGTATAAGTACAGCAGTGAGGCATGGGGTGTGTTTTTGTTTTTTTGGCTGATGTAGCGATGCCCCTTTAAGTTTTAGATACAGACCAAGCTATAGTTTCATTTCCTTTTTGAGACCAGAAAATCCTCCCCAAATGGAGGAGGATGGGGCCATTGAGCTGCATTTCCGGGCTCTTTAAGGCCTCAGTTCAGGAAGGTACTTAATATTCCTGGGGGGAATTCTTTGCCAAAAAAATTAAAAATTCTGTATGTTTTATTTGTCAAAATAATGCAGTATAGTCATGCTGGTTTCAATAATATAGGTAATTTATTTCAACTACAATACAATTTATGGAGAATGGGAGTGGGGAGCATTGGAGGAAATTGCCAAACCCCTTTGTCTAATAGTAATGTAGGTTTGACCCTTTACTTCTAGTTATTAGTCAACAAATACATAAAGTTCATATGCTCAATGTTACATCATAGGCAACTGAAAAGCAAGTGAGCGCTGAGGAATCAAACTCAATTTATATTGGCTACCAACCATCTCCAGAAAGGTCAGTAGCAAACAGTTCATGGAGCACATTCTGATAGGAAATTTTTTCAGTCCAAAAATTTAGACCAGTTCTAATCACTCAAGCACCATAAGCATTTATAAGGCCGTACTGTCCTTTACACCACTCTGGCAAAGTAAAGGAGCCTTAAAATGTTTACACCTGTTTTTACTAGGGTGACCAGACAGCAAGTGTGAAAAATCGGGACAGGGGGTGGGGGGTAATAGGAGCCTGTATAAGAAAAAGATCCAAAAATCGGGACTGTCCATATAAAATCGGGACATCTGGTCACCCTAGTTTTTACACTCCTGGGGGAATTCACAAAGACAATGGGAAGAATTCACTAAGCAGCCAGGCTCTTAGATTCTGTTCTGTCTGAGGAGACAGAGCCTACCCCATGCCTACCTCCTCAGAAACACCCCAAAGCCCTGCCCTTGCACATCGAGCATACTGCAATAGCGAGTGAGAGGGACAACGTGCGTCTCTCTCTCTCTCACACACACACACACACAGAGCTCAGCCCCCTGGAGGTGATTTATGTCTCTACCAGCTGCTCCTGGTGCCCAAACCACCCTGCCTGCACTTCTTCAGAAGGGCATGTGACCACTCTTGCAGCTTCCCTTTGCTTCCCCATCAGAAGTCATTTTTCTGTGACGAAGCAAAGAAATCTGCAGGAGACATGAATT